TCTCTCTCACACACATGCAAGCACAAACACATAATTTTACAATTCACGCACACACACATAAGACACACATCTGCCCTGCCTCCCGCCGATGTCGCCAGCCCGTCGAGCACCACGGCGGTACTCACGACAATAGTTTCTGAGTCGACTCGAGATTGTCACTGGAGTTTAGAGATGGTATGAAATCGTTAAATTTTTGGTGCAGATAAAGAAGGAGTCGGGAGAGTTGCAGAGGAAGAAGAGTCGGGGGCTAGGGCTTGGGAGGCTGTGGCGGCGACGACGGGACCGACGGGGCTGGTGGCGGGTTAGGGGCTGATGATTTTTTGGGTGTGGGGACGTAGAGTTTTCAAGCAAGTTTTAGGGACGTAGAGTTTTCAAGCACGTTTTAGGGACCCACTCAATTGATCTTCGAACAAATACAACACATATAAAAACTTGAAAAATGCTTTATGTACATAATAAATGTACATAAGATATACATAACACTCACATGGAGTGGGGTCCACTTGATTTTTTAATTATAGTGGGTCCCACTCAATATGAGTGTTATGTACACCTCTATGTACAACATTATGTACCTATAGCATCACTCTAAAATCTTGCATATCTTACAGGAACTTAGTAAATAACTCGACAATATATAATAAGATCTTCCTTTTTTTTACTTTGTTTTGCTTGCAAGAACAACTCTTCAAGATATTATTTTCTAACTCATTCCCAATAATTATTTCTTTCAGATTCAATGGTGTGGGAACAACTTGATGTATTGTTGAGATTTTGCAACAAAAGCCATAAGAGATTTTCTTAGCTTTATTTTGGAATATATATCATTGCTTGCAATTTTTTTTTATTCAAATTTATGTGTCCTGGTTTTTGAATGAAACTCTATTATATCATTTACACCAATTACTCTGCCTTCAATAACTTCAAACACTGATATATGGCAAGAATTTTTACCCTTAATCCCCCTCCCCTTATATATTAATTCAGAACGTGCTGAGCCTACGTGGCTGCTTCTGGTGCTTCGGAATTCTATGTGGCAAAATTACATGCTTCGTTTTTAGGCTTGGGTAAATTTTAATTTAATTCCAAACCAAAAATAATTAGGTTCGGATTACCATAAATATGTTGATTATTTATGGTCATGTTACATGTATTAATTGCATTTTAATATCATTACTTATTATAATTATTGAATTGTATATATAATTTAAAAGTTAATAACTTTTGTATTTTACATATGTAATATATCAAATTAATCTTCTTTTGATGAGTTTCGATTTAACATCCATATTGTATGTATAAAAAAATAATTTATATTTATCTTTATAACAATAATAAAATTAGTTTTAATATTAATTAGAAAAATAAAATTATTTATGAACTAATATATTTATATTTCAAGTAGTTATATGATATAGGTTATAAAAACTAATATAATATAACACATGTAAGTCATAAGTAACACATATCATTCTAAAATATATGGTAATATATTTCTTCTGTAAGAAGTAAATTAAATTTAATATAGTTTTCTCATTAATTTTAAAATTTAAAATAACTTTTTAACAAGCACCCGTATAATACACGGGTGTTGTACTAGTTACTAGCAATATTAGTAGTTTATTGGCAATGTAAATGGATCATTGCTTCAACAAAAGATATATATAAATGTTACATGAGGAGATCTGAATAAATGGAGAGAGTTGCAATATAAAAAAATGGTTTTAGAAAAAGACAAGGAAATGTAACAAGATTCTTGTATGAGACTGGATCTAATAGGTGACTTGAGTTATCATAAAATACCACCTACTTGACTCTTTTGGTCTAATTTTGCTTATATGACAAGTACATAGACTAAAGTCTTGAATGACATGAATAAAATTATATAAAAATAACACACAAGTCACTCCAATACAAAGAGACTAAGTCTCTCTTCGAGTCTAAAATAGACTTAAGGGTAGAACGAGTCTTTTTTTTTTCTGCCACATCATCAGGACTCAGTCTAATTGCGCTTGCACTGAAGAATTAATTATTTTTTTTAGTTGAGTCTATTTTTTATGTGGAATGTAATTTTTTTTTTTTTTTGAGTGAACCCCAAAACATTATGGATGTTCTTACCACTCTGATGGACACGAGATCCCGATGGCATTTATGGACAAATATGATCGTTTACCATCCTTAGTTTGATTATTATTTTCCTATCTATTTTATTATTATGCTTTATTTCTTTTTCCTAGTTAGTAGATGAATAATTTATGTTAATTG